AGTCCTGGTGAGTACAAGGGACTGGATCCCATGGCTGCTGTGGCTGACTGGAGGACATCTTGGAATTGGGCAGTCCTCCACCAGGGCGACATCAATAACACCGAGAGTCTGGTGGAAGATATCTTGGAGTTGGGCAGAGCCTGTGACTCGGTGACATCAGACAGTCCCCTGATGTAGAGAGGTCTGGTGGAGAACATTTTGAAACTGGGCAGAGCCCGGTGCCATGACGACGTCAGAGACATAGAGAGAACTAGTGGAAGACATCTTGGAATTGGGCAGACCCACTGCCGTGGTGACATTAGATAGTCACTCCTGGCACAGAGAGGTCTGGAGGAGGACAGGGCAGAGCCCTGTGCCATGGTTACATTAGTCAGCTGCTTCTGGCACAGAGAACTGGCAGGATCTGCTAGGGTTAAACCAAGCCTCTGGTTGGGACCCAATAAGCAGATACAAAATAGTCGCGACTCTGTGACATCCACAAAGTACAGCCTAATTTGCAGATTGACTGGCACAGAGGCTGGAGGGTAGCCTGTGCCATCCCTGCATCCCTGCTTACCCCACATAACAGCAAATTGGGGAGGACAGCAAAAACTCAAGTCAGCACGCTTCTGAAAGGCCCTAAGCAATACGGAGAGGGCCAGAGAACCCCAGGACACTCCAGTCTGAAAGAAACCAGAAACATGACAAGAGATAGAATAAAAAAAAAATCTCCAGCTGCCCAACATGAGAAAATAAGCCCAGGAGAAGTAAACACTGAAGAGAACAAGCACAGTAACCATCTAATACTGGACACAGCATCAGCAAAATTAAAAAAATACCTCCATGACCTCATAGTTGAATTTAAAGCTGTACTCCTGATCCAAGTGAGGCAAGATATAAAGAGATTAATTAAAGAAATGACAAGCCCCGCCCAAGAGAACACAGATGGAAGAACTGAGGAAATCAGAAAAGAAAGAGAAACTTCTGAAGAATTTAAACATAACTTAGAATACATGAAACAGATCCAAAGAGATTACCAAGAAACTAAAAACTCCATTGAACACTGGCAAAATGCCTTGACAGAAACTGAAGTTAGCCTTTTGAAACTTGAAGAGAGATTTATGATATATGATCGTGAAAGAAAAGACCTCTTAAAAATAACAAGGAACCAGAAAGAAACAATTCAAAGGTTAAAAGATGACAAAAGGATACATAACTTAACAATAAAGAATGTGAGTGAGGAAGCAGGAGCAACCAAAAATGAAATACAAAGAATATTCACAGATATATTAAAGCAAAATTTCCCATGTATAGCAAAAAGAAATGATATCCAGATAAAAGAGGCATACAGAACACCAGCTACCTACAACCAAAACAGATCTACACCCAGACGTATAATAATCAAGATTCCAGAAATCAACCAAAAGAACAGAATATTAAAAGCAGCCAGAGAAAAGAAGCAGATTACCTACAATGGGAAAATTATCAAAGTAACAACAGAATTATCAACACAAACTCTTAAATCAAGAAGGGAATGGGGAGAAATATTCCAAGTCCTGAAAGAAAATAATATGCAACCAAGACTCATATACCGGTCAAAACTCTCTCTCAAAATTAATGGAGAAATAAGATGCTTCCAAGACAAGGAGGAACTGTGTGAGTTCGTGGCCACCAACCCAACCCTACAGAGAGTGCTGAAGGACATTCCAGAGAAAGAGAGGAAGGGATACTAGGATTCCAGCAACAGTGGCAGAGAGGCCTTCATGAACGGGGCAGACAGTGGAATGAGGGAATAAGGTGGACAAATTATAGCAGAAAAGTGGAGTAGCAGACATGAGGCAGAGACGGTAAGCTATAGTCTTTAGTATAGATAGCTCTGAAACACTATAAAAAAAGGCAGAGGTCATTGTTAATAGTGTATCAGGATTTAAAAGACACAGTAGTCTTATTGCCCTGTGTAGTTTGAATTTAATTTGTTCTGGTCTGTCCACTCATATCAGACTTGAGGGCACAGACATCTGACCCAAAAATATTTGCAGTTATACCGGTAACTATCCTTATTTTCCTATTAACTTAAACTGAAATCCTGTATTACTTACACTGTATTACTATGACTGATCTTATTTAAATCCGATTCATAAGACTGCGGTTTTGCCTTGGCTGATTTTATTTGAATTTGGTATGCTTGATAGTATCAACCCTAAAAGTAGAGACAACTACTCTGAAGATGACAAGATATAAAAGATATCCATACTGGTATTAATTATTAACAGCTCTCAAGTCCTACAATGTTTTCAAAGTTGTGTTTTTATAAAAATAGCTAGGTAATACTATCTTTAGCTATATTAAGCCCGATGATGTGGACAAATCTATTGAAAATAACAAGAGAAAGCATAGTAACTACGGAAGATCACCTCTTATTGTGGTCTTATGTGTCTTATTCATTGCATGTTTTTCTAGGCATTTGTTTTGCTGTCTTGCTATGATTTTTTTTCCCTATAATACAGAGAGGATAGATATACCTGTAGAAATTCACACATGAGATTGTTTTTTAAAAAAACTATTTACAGGAACAGAATATATAATGCAAGATGTAATGAACAGATACTCTGAAGAAGAAGAGACACTAAGAAACCCAATGCTAATTTTGTAGCATTATGATATAAAATCTAGCAATACTATTATTCACTGATCAGAGTGATGTTAGTCTAGTCTCTTAAGTTCAGTTTCAGCATATGTAAAGATAAGGACAGTTACTACGAAGAGAATGAGATGCGATGGTAGTTATTATTGTCTTCCCCAATGTCAGATCTTGAAGACCTAAAAAGCCTTCATCATCCTGTAATGATTTGATTAGTTCTATAATATGCAGTATGTATTTAATGTGCGTGAAGATGGAGACAATTATTTGGAAGAAACTAGAGATAATTAGATAAATCGTGAAGATCTCCAGTGGACTTGCTTTGAAATCTGTATTTCTTTAAATTTTTTTAACTGTTTTGTTCTGTTTTGATATGTTTAATCTTACCCTCTTTAAGATATAAAACAAGTGTGTAGGACTGATAACCATATTACTAAGTTTTTGTTAGATCATTGAGCAGAACTGTTGGCAGTGTCACTATTTGAATGTCATTTTACATACTTTAATTTTGTAACCTGAACAGCTATGTCTAAGATGACAATATGTAACCTATTAACTGGCGATTTTTTACTGTTTATTTTTCTGTAATTCTGTATTATTTCTACCCTTTTTATCTCCATGTATTTTTGTTTCTTTCTGTTTAAATAAAAAAAAGAGATGATGTGTGTTTTTATACAGTAGAATTTTACTCTGCTATACAGAAGGTTAAGCTTGAGACATTTCTGGTTAAATGGGTGGACCTTGAGATCATACTCTTTTTTTTTTTTTATTTAAAAGGAAAAAGAGAAAAAACAAAACAAAACAAAGCGGTGTAAGGGTACAAGTAATACAGAACTACAAAAAAAAAAAAAAAAAACAGTAAGAAATCACCAGTTAATAGATTACATATTATCATCTTAGAGATAGTTGCTCAAAGAGATCATACTCTTAAGTGAAATAAATCGGACGCATTTATTTCACATTACTAAATGTCACATTACTTTTCTGGTTTGAGAAACCGAAAGTGTAAATAAGGACCTAAATGTATAATAATACATACTGGGAAATGGGAAGACACTGTTTCAATGAGAATAGGAATGAGGGAGGGAAGCGAAGAAAAGGAAGAAAGGGACAAAAAAAAAAGAGAACGGGAGGAAAAAATGGAAACAAAGCTTTTATAAATAAGGAGGGGAAGAGGGCTGAAAGTAGGGGAGGGGAGTGAGAGAAAAGCAGCAGCAAGATCTACCACGTACAGATGCGAGTCCCCCCGCGACCGTGATCACTCTGTGTGTGTACAACACAAAGCTAAGCTAGCTGTGGGGACAGGCAATGGGAAAGCTGAGCAGCACCTGCCACACAGACCTCCACAGCCCCACTTTATCTCTGGGCCTCGCGTGTAAGAGGCTGACTGGAGCCAACTCTCACTCTGCACTGTTCTCTCGCTGCTAACTCACCTCCCATTTGTAAACCTCAGCTCTGTCACACATTTTCTTCCCTTTGTTAGGCCGCGTCTCGGCTCGCTATGTGGTACAGGCTGCTTTCAGCTCCTCGGCTGAAGCAATGTTTTTGCCCCAGCTCCCGCTCCCAGGAGCCGAACTTGGTGTGCACCCCAAGCCTGTCTCATTTGTGTGTGTGCATGTACGTTCAATATAATGCCCACAATAATGAAGGCTATCAAGATTATGGATACTGATAAAATCCCTGCTGAACCTGCCAATCTGAAAACGTTCTTGCCAGGCATGGTGTGCACATTTGTAATCCCAGCACTCAGGAGGCTGGGGCAGGAAGACCACAAATTCAAACCTGGTCTGAGCAATTCAGAGACTTAGCAAGACTCTGTCTCAAAATAAAAAGTAAAAAAAATGGCTGGGGATATAACTCAGTGACCAGTGCTGGTTCATTCCCTAATTTCACATACACACAATAACAGTAAGAGGAAGGAGAAGGAGTAGGAGGGAGAAGGGGGAGGAGAAGAAGAAAAAGAACAACGAGGAGGAGGAAGAAAATCCTTTAAATGACCACTGTAATCGCAGCACTCAGGAGGGTCACCACGAGTTTAAAACCAGCTTATACTCAATAGTGACTTCAAGATCAGCTGAACTACATTATCAAGACCCTGTCATTAAAAAAAACAATAATAAGGGATCGAGATGCAGTTCAGTGCAAAGGTCCTGAGTTCAATTCACCACACCAAAAACAAAAAATCTTCACATCTGTTGATGATCCCGAGAACTCACTTCTTTCTTTCTTTCTTTCTTTTTTTTTTTTTTTTTTTTTTGTCTTTTTCATTTTTATCGGTACAGGGGATTGAACTCACAACCGCCTGCTTGCAAGGCAGGTGCTTATGCCGCTGAGCTAAATACCCAGCCCCCACTCACTTCTTTCATAATCAGTGACTTACCGTGCATAGTCCTGGGGGGAGATCAGAAATTTCTCTTTCATCTGGACCTCAGCTTTGTTCTCCCACCAGAATTTGTTGGTCGCTTTCCTGTGCTCTGGACTGAGAAGGGAGAGGATGCAGACTGTAAAGCCACGCTCAGGTACCTAAGCATTGGATAAGTGATGCGCAATGACTTCTGGTTTCCTAACTCGGGCAAGGCACATAGAGAAATACTACTACACACCTCTTCACGATCTAGTGTCCCTTTTTCCAAAAACAAAGTGAGGTGATGGGCAGTGAGCGAGTGAGATTTTGCAGCTAGAACGCCCACAACCCTGGGAACCATCGCAGCCACAAGGCCCGTCCCCAGGTTGTCAATGCCTTGCAACGTGACGCAATCTATATACCTCGATCAAATCACAAAGCGTCCTTCCTCTCCCTCACCCCAGCTCCTCTTCTCCTACACAGGTCTGCATCTGTGCTGGGGCGCGGGTGAGGGGCGGTCACCTGGCTAGATGCTCCAGCAGCGCCCCGTGCAGCACCGTCAGGTTGCCGTAGCTCAGGTGTTTCCGCACTTCGCGGCCGCAGCACAGGCACCAGCAGCACCGCTCGTGCTCGGGCATGTAGCGCTCCACCTGAGCGGCGCGGACGGCCTTGCGGGCGGCCTCCACCTGCGGGAGAGGCCGGGTAGGATCGGGGGCCTGGGGGAAGATGACAGTCCCTCGGGCCCTCCCGCCAATGAACCGCATCCCCGGCCCCTGCAGCCTCGTACTTGGGGCAGAAACCGCTCTAAAGCTCCCTTCAGCTGCCGCTGGTGTTTGCGGCTGTAGACGTGTCCGCGACCACAGAAGAAGGTCTGGCGGCAGAGGGGACAGCGCTGCGGCGGAGCCATAGATCCGGGACCTCGTATCCCCGCCACTTTCAGCCACTCTTTCGCCATCCGCTGACCCCTGACCTCGGGGGCGGGGCGAATCGAGTAGCTACCGAGGCTCCCTAGTGGCCAGTAGGCGCCACTGCAGTACGTTCTGCGGTTGCGCAGATTGTTCACCGGCTCCGCCTACTCCTCACCAGCTCCCAGGGCGGTCCGATGGAGCTTGCATCCCGGGAGCTGTTCCGGCTGTCAGAGACCTGGCAGTCCTGCGCTGCCACGGGAGGGAAAAGTGCACGCCAGTTTGGAGCACAGAGCACATACATCTCTGATCATTGTCAAAGTAACAAGTCCTGATATTTATAGAGTGAGCACTGGGTCCTGAGCTTTGCAGTAATGACCACACTGAATCCTTGCTGTGTGTTGGTCATCCTTGGTTCTTTACAAATGAGAAAAGGCAGGTAAAGAGCTCTGCGGAAGGTCGCCCAGGAGTTTAGTAGCCGAGCTAACACAATCAGCTTCCGTGTGCCCCTGCAGGAGGAACACATGTAGTGGGGACTGTGCTCTAGCATCTCATCACTGCACGGTGTGCTGAGCGCTGCTCCTGCAAAGGAGAAACTTAAACCTGCAGGATCAGACCTGAGGGTTAGCGGACACTTTAAACCTGTAAAGGTTTTGCTTCCATTGAATGTGTAATTCTTTGCAAGCCATTTTGCCCAGAATCAGTAACCTGTTTATCCTGCTTCTTTTAGGGCCTAACGTGCTTGTTGCTTCTCAGAGCTGGATCCCTCCCTAGAAATCTACAAAAGCTAAGGCCTAGCCCGGATCTTGTGTGCAGAAGCAGCCAGAGCTGGCTCCACACCGGAAATTCTCTTAGATTTTGTTACTAGTTCTTTTGCACTGACCTGTATGGGCCACCATGTCCGTGGAGCTGTATGTGGCCACCTCTACAAAATTCAGGCCCGGCTACTAGTCAGACTCTGGGCAGATACTTACTGACTCCCCGCTGGAGCTGCCCACTGCCTCCCTGTCTCTGCCACACAGGTTTCTGCACCCCAACCCTCACCCACTCCAGTGCTGGAGATTGACCAGGGCCTTGCGCATGGCAAGCACACATTCTGCCACTCGAGACCCACTAGTGAGTCCTTTTGAGGACCCTTGTAATACTCAATACCTTGTTCTCATTATTCCCCTGACGGGGGAATAGTCCTCGCCCTTGTCTCCTGAATTGTTCCTTCACTGAATACAAATTATGGAGCCCTACTTTGACTACTCCCTTTTGGAGGAATCCCCGGAACCTGGTAACAGCTGGGAATGCTTGTAAGCCCAGTTATGTGAGAGGTTGCAGTAGGAAGCTTAGAAGTTGGAGGCCAGCCTGGACAACCTTTCAAATAAAAACTAAACTTTCAAGAATGCAGTTCAGGGTAGAGCAGTGCTTAGCATGCACAAGGCCTCAGGTTCAATCCTCAGCACCAGAAAGATCCAGGAATGGAGCACACCTGTAATCTCAGCACTCAGGAGGCTAAAGCCAGAGCATCACTCTGAATGTGAAGCCAGCCTGAACTACATAGTGAGACCCTGCCTAAAAGCAAATACAAAGATTCAGGGAAAAAATTATATCTACTAAACATGTACAGACATTTTTCTTGATATTTCCTCAATGGTACAGTACCAACAACTTTTTACACAGCATCTGTAATAGGACTCACAAGAAACCTAGGGATGCTTTTAAGTATCTGCAAGTTTTTTATATAAGCGACCTACACACCCCAGGAGGTAGGTCTCTGCAGGGGCCTCCCAGAACCAGTGTGCCAGACACCAAGAACAAACTTAATCGCATCTTCAGCTCAGGCTTCTCTCCGGAACTCTGACCTGACATAGCATCCTGTGTGTCTCAGCCTCCAAACAGAGAACTGCTCAAGTGGCTGCTTCCCATGCTTGCTTGCTGACTACCGCCCCACTACTCAGGCGAGCCACATAGTCCTTGTGTTCCCTTGCACCCAGTTGTCTTAGAGAGTTGTTTTCTACCTCCAAAATCCAGGGTCCTGCTGGGTGTGGTGGTACACTCCTGTAATCCCAGCACTTGGGAGGCAGAGGTAGGAGGATCGTTGCAAGTTCAAAATCAGCCTGGGCTACAGTCATGGACCTAGACACATCTTCCAAAGAAGTACCCCTAGGAGTCCATAAGGAACCTTTATTTATTTATTTTTGTGGTGGTACTGGGGATTGAACTCAGGGCCCAGTGTACACTAGCAAGCACTTTACCACTCAAACTGTACCTCCAGCCCTCAGCCTGGACTAGAAAGCAAGTCCAAGGTCAGCCTGAATGGCACAGTGAACCCTGTCTCAAAAAGACCAAAAGAAAAAAAAGAAAAGAAAAAGACAAAAAAAAAGATCCAGGGTCCTGTACATCTCTCCATCCACTGCCCCTGTTGCCTAGGTTACTTCAAACACCTTTGAATTGCTCTTCCACTTCACCCTTACAACCCTTTCAACATGACTAACAATAACAACTTTTAGATATAACAAACAGGTTATGTCAGTTACTTCAGCTTCTTTCCACTGAGCTTCAAAAAAACAAAACAAAAACCCTGCCAGGCACTGTGGTGCATGCCTGTAATCCCAGCACTTGGGAGGCTGAGGCAGGATTGCCACAAGTTCTTGGCCAGCCTAGGCTACATAGTGAGCTTAAAGACAGCCCGAACTACATAGTGAGATCTTGTCTCAAAAACATAACCCCCAGATTCCAAATCTTTATCATAACCTGGGGAAGCCTGTAGGGTCCAGTCCTCGGCCCTCCGCAGCTGTGCCTTGGCTGTTTCTCCCGTTGCTTACCATATGCTATTCTCTGTGGCCGCATCCCACTAGTACCCCAGGTACCATCCCTTCTCCTCTTCAAGGCTGATACGTCTGTAGTCCCCGCAACTCACTTGAACCAAGTTCAGGACCAGACTGGACAACACAGTAAGCATGTTTGTCTGTCTCTGCATCTGTCTCTGGTTTTCTGAGACAGTCTCACCATGTAGTTCAGAGGCATGTGCCACCACCATACCTGAGGTTGGTTTGTTTTTGTGAAACTAAGGGTCAAACCCAGAATCTTTGCATTGAGGTATAGCCCCACCCTTCACCCCTTTTCCTCTGAGACAGTGTCTTTCTAAATTGCTCAGATGGGATTTGGATTTGTGATCTTCTGGCCTCAGCCTCCCAAAGTGTTGGGATTTATTTTGAACAGTCTATGTAATTCAGGCTGACCTTGAGCGCAGTATGTAGCCCATTTAAAAATTATGGCAATCCTCCTGCCTCAGCCTCCTGAGTCTGGGATTGCAGCTGTGCACCACCAGGCCTGGCTACTTTGGCTTCCACTTACTATAAGGTCCGTTAAAAGTGTCACTGACGGAGCTAGGGATTTAGCTCAGCAGCATAAATGCCTGCCTTGCAAGCAGGCAGTCGTGAGTTCGATCCCTGGTACCAATAAAAAGGAAAAAGACAAAAAAAAATTAAAAAGTGTCACTGTCTAGCTGGGTGTGGTAATGTGTGCCTGTAATCCCACCAGTGAAGCTGAAGCAGGAGGAATGCAAATTCCAGACCAGCCTGGTGTACAAAGCAAGACGATACCTCAAAAAACAATCAACAAATACAGTTTTTCCCTTATCTTCAAGGGACACATTGCAAGACAGATGTGGTGGTACACACCTACAATCCCAGCACTCAGAGGGCAGGAGGATCCCTGCAAGTTTGAAGCCAGCCTGGGCTATCTAGTGAGGTCAGGGCCATCCTAAACTACAAGACCCTGGCTCAGAGAAAAAAAAGAGATGGGGAGATATTCCAAGACCCACAGTGGACGACTGAAACTGGGTATGTATGTGTCCTATACATACATTTCTATGATGAAGTTCATTGTATAGGCCAGAAGTGGTGGTGCACTGCCATGACTCCAGCACTCGGGAGGCCAAGGCAGGCGGACCACGACTCTGAGGCGAGCCTGGACACCAGCACTGTGTAAGCAGGGCCGTGAGGAGGCTCCATAGCTTAGGTTACTGGTGTACTTTCAGCATCTACTGCTTAGCTGGACACAGCCCGGCTGTAAGTAGCCTTCCCTGGATCTCTGCTCCTCCCGGCTCCTCGGCCTGTCCCCTTGTGCCATCCCCAGGTCCTCACAGAGCACCGGGCACTTTTCTCTCTTGCATTTTAAAAATTTTTATTGGTACATTTGAGATAAATGTAACATTCATCACAGGGAACTTATGTACATGATATATCTTGTTTTTCCCCATTCCCCTCCTTATTTACAAAAGCTATTTCCATTTTTCTTTCTTCCTTGTCCCTTCCCCTCCCCGCCGAAACATTCTCTGCCCATCTCCTAATAATATCTAGTATACATTTTGGTCCTTATTTACACTTCAGGTTTCTCAGAGAAGCAATGCAGTAAGCAGGTATCTGGTTTATTTCGCTGAAGAGTGTGGTCTCAAGCACCTGGCACTTCTGGAGAGTCGCTAGCAGATGTGGGAACAGAAGCCTTTGCGGGTCCTCCAGCTGGACTGCTTCTCCTCTGTGCTCGCAGAGTCCGGAGCCGCCAGCTATGCGGTGCCACTCACTGCAAGCCTCCTGCCTAGAGGGCCCCGTGCTAGGCTCTGCACAGAAGGGGAGCCCTGGGGCCTGAGGGTTGTATGCGATGCTCGGCAGTGGTTCTCTGTGCTGCCTACCTTACACCCTAGGGACAGCGCACATACCTTACCTCCCTGGAAAGCACCCCGTCAAGCACCTTCCACACATGGAACTTATGCCCGGCTCACACATGTGACTTTTAATGCTCTACCATGCTAATTGTATTCATTCAGAAAGATAAAGGAAAAAGGTATGATAAAAAACTTTGCAGTTGGGGCCGGGGATTTAGCACAGTGGTAAGTACAAAAGCGTAAGGTCATGAGTTCAATCCCTGGTACCAAAAAAAAAAAAAAAAAAAAAAAAAGAAAAATTATTAATTGCAAAATACTTTATGTGAATACATGAAATAGTTGGAAATTTGCACATCCTTATTGTAAATAGGCTACAAGATGATCTTCAAGTGAACACTGAAAATATTTCTTTACATTAACTTCTTTGAAATAAGAGCTAAGTGTGTACATAATTATGTATACTCAATGTATTTTCAACTTCCAGTGTTTGCCTGGACATAACCCTGGTGGCACATGCCTGTAACTGTAGCACTTGGGAAGCCTGATGCAAATTCAAGGCCAGCCTCGGCTACATAGTGAGACCCTGCCTCAAAAAAAAAGCAGCAAGGAAGAGGTAGCTGAATTTCAGAGTGCAGGGATCAAGGGGTGATGAGAGCCCAGGAAATAAAGTTTAGTCCTCAAATGTAAGGCTGTTCCGCAAAGACAAAAGAACAGTACAGGACTGCTCCTTGATGAACTAACCCACAAACCCACATGAGCAATGTCTGTAAGCTCCCTAAATGTAATACATCAGACTTTGCCCTCCCAGTATCTTACTTGGTTCTCATGTCCAGTCTCTGCAGTTTCATTATCTCTTACATATCAAGGAAACTCAGATTTAGAAATGTTAAGAAAACTTCTACCAAGGACAACACAGTTCAGAGGAACAAGTCAAAATAAACAAAAATGCTGCTGGGTGTTGGTTCTGGCTATTTGTGAGGGATGTAAAAAACATACAAAGATCAGCAGGGTTGGAGACGCAGCTCAGTGGAGGAGTACTCAGCATACCCCAGGCTCTGGGCTTAGTGCCTAGCACCACACAGGTAACGGCCGAGCTCCCTGAACCCTCTCTGCTGGGACGACAGCCCCTCACAGGGCCCCTCACTTCCCAACCACGCTTGCTCCGCAGCAGCCTCTCAGGGGATGCTGAAGGTGAATGAGGGCATCTCCTCAGATGATCCTCACAGCCCAGGAACCAGGAGCTGCTCCAGGAGAATGAGAAGCCCAGACTGCGCACCAGCAACTGCCTGCTGCCTGGGGAGCTGCCCCTGGCTCTGAGGGCCTGCGATTCCACCCTTGGCGCTGAACTACATTCCTGCCAGAGCCCATCCTGACACACACACACACACCACACAAGCACTCATACACACATGCACTAATATGCATGAGCTCACCCACGACTACACACATACACACACTCTCACACATGCACTTTCATACATACATGCACACTCATACATGCACACACACATGCATGCATGGACACGACCACACACAGACTCACACACATACATGCATGCACTCACACACACAAACTCACACGCATGCACGCACGCCTGCACAGAGGCTGCTTTGCGAAGTTTAATAAGGCATGGCTGATGACTCTTGCTCCTTACAGGTTAAAGAGGAAGGGCATCACATCTGTAAGAAAATAAAAAGTTCAAGGGATCTTGTACTTCGCCACCACAGCCCCCAAATCTGGAACACTCTTCTAGCAGGCCGTTTACTTCCCCTCGCTGGACGCTCACACAACACTCCTGAGGCTCCCTGAACAGCACCAGGAGAAAGAGGAGGTCGCCTTCACAAGTGACACCTATTGTGGCCCCCAATCCCTGGAGCATCAAGGCTCACACTAACAGGAATGACCTCATCTCCACCGGGCACTGCTGTCACCCCTGCTTTCTACAGAAGATGTCCCTGGAGCAGGACCCAGGCTGTGGGCTTAGTTCGGGGCCCTCAGGTCCCCCCACGGGCCCACTTGCGACAAGGCAGCACACCTGGCTGGCTCATGCACTGCTGGATACTTTCCAGCTGAGTGGAGGGCAAGGCGCGGGCCTCCTCCACAAAGCGGCGGCGTCCCTCCTCAGTCAACTTCCAGAGGCAGGCTCGGGGCCGGGGGCTGGCCTCCCCCTGCATACTGACCGGCACTTTCTGGAAGCTGTCTCGGAAACAGAGATTGTGACGGATAGTATTCTTCCAGCCTTCTGGAGCCGTCCGGAAAAAGGGGAAGTGCCATCTGTGGGCAGGGAGGAAGCGTAAGGCAGGGCAAGGCTTTGCTGGAGGAGGCCCCGCTCTTGTGCCAGCTCTCCCCAGGGGCCAGGAGCCTCAGATCTCCTCCCCACTGTGCACTGCTTATGAGCACCCCTCCCCAATGCTGGGGATGAACCTAGGGCCTTGTACTGAGCTACATCTCCAGCCCCCCCATTTATTTATTAATTAATTTATTAATTTTATTTTGAGTCTTGCCAAATTGCCCAGGCTGGGTTCCAGTTTGCTGTCATTCTGCTTCAGCGTCTCAGCGTGCTGGGATTAAATGCCTGCCCACACCCAGTGAACACTTTTTTTTTTTTTTTTTTTTTGGCGGTACTGGGGATCGAACTCAGGACTTCGTGCTTGCCAGGCAGGCGCTTATGTCGCTGAGCTAAATCCCCAGCCCCTCTCTTTTGTATTTTTGAGACAGGGTCTCACTACATAGTTTAGGGTGGCCATGAAGTCATAGGGAGCCTCCTGCCTCAGCCTCCCAAGAGCTAGGCTTACAGGTGTGCCTCCACTCCCAGCATTAACTCTTTCTTTGCAAATCCTACCTCACTGCTCTCCCTAGACTCTTTTTTTTTCCTCCTTTGCTCTCAGGGCTCAGGACTTGAGTCACAGAAACACAGAAACAAAGCAGAATCAGGCCTCTGAGCGAGGGATATCCCAATTGGAGGATGAAGAACCTGAGACATTAAACTGTTCTCCATTCCAGTCCTGAGAAGAGACTCCCTCGTGCAGGTCCCTGTCAGAGCTACATCAGTACCGGGGTGACCTCTGGGGTACAGCACACACTCAGCATGTGTGAGGCCTGGGCTCTGTCCCGAGCGCACACGCATGAATGTGCACACACCCACCGAACGATGTCCTTTCCTGACTGGGCTCCCCTGGCCCCTGGGGTGCAGGGAGCTGTGACAGGCAGGACCTCCGAGCGTCCGCACTGGCTAATCTTGAGAGGTGGGGTTAAGAAGAAGAGTTACCGACCTAAGTGCACCTGTGAGTTCCAGTAGGGACCCTGTTTACACACTGGCCTGGGAGGGTGCTCATCCTGAGACCCAGATGGGGAAACTGAGTCACAGCTTAGCGCCAGGGCAGATCGCAGGGCTTCGGGCCCCCTCCCGTTCCCCTCCTCACAGGGCCCCTGGCACATACCGCGTGAAACTGTAGATCTGTTGCACGTTGAGGCCACAGGGGGGGCTGTTGCTTAGTGCCAGGGCAATTAGGTGGAAGTAATTGAGAGGGGGCCGGGACCAGAGCCTCCCCTCCGGGCTGATGGTTGGTTGCAGCCTCCGACTCTGGAGGGAGGCCCTTTTGAGGGGGAGCAGGAGAGCCACAGAGGAGCTGTCATCCTGGTCCTCGGCCTCCTCTTCTGTGAGCTGGAGGAGCAGAGTAGGAACTCTGCTGACTCAGCGACCTCCACTCTAAGGTGCAGCGGGTGAAGGGGAGCGGTGCAGGCCACCTGGCCCTGTCCCCAACCCAAGGGGCCTGCTTACTTCTGCACCCATTAAGCCATTGCTGCTGAGTCCCTGTGCCCACCCTGCCCACTGCCCAGGCTGTGTCCATACCTCCTGGTCACCAGGGGACGAGAAGCTCTGCTTCCGCTTCTGCTTCCGTGGGGGCGAATGCTCGTTGCAGGAAGCCTGCGGTGATTCCGCCCCGGTGCCCTCTGAGCTGCTGGCATCTTGTTTTTCCAGGGGTGGCTGAGGGCAGGGGACCTCACTTGTCTCATCTGCTACACTTGTGGGATCTGAAACCTCCAGCTTGCCCGGGGGGTACACGATGTTAGGGTTTACCCACATCCACAGGTTGGGTTCAATATCTGGACCTGTGTGGGGTGCAAAAGATGGTGCCACAGCTCAGCGGCTCTGAGTGTCCCTGGTCTCAGCCCAGGAGATGCAGCCTTCCTGTCCCTGTTGGAGGGCTCCCTTCCTGCTCAACTCACCATCTCCATCAGAGTTGGGTTTCTTTTCCAGAGGCAACACAGGTGGATCAACTATTCGGAGTTTATATCTCGCCACTGGTGAAAAGATAGAAAGTGTCACAATATTTCAGAATTTCCATTGACATCCTGGGCCTTGAAGCTGCCTCAGGAAAGGAAGGATTATGGATTTTATTTTATCAGTCTTTCCTTCAGCTCTGCCCTTTTCATTTTCCTGGCTTTTTTCTTCTTTTTGAGACAGGGTCTCGCTATGCAGTTCAGGCTGGCCTTGAGCTCACTTTGTAGCCCAGGCTGGTTTCTAACTCACAATGATCCTCCGGCCTCAGTCTCAGCCACCACACCCAGCTCTGTCTCTTTTTGAGACAGGGTGTTGCTGCATAGCCCAGACTGGCCTTGAACTCCGTCATTCTCCTGCTGTGCCCCCTAGTGGTGAGATTACAGATGCACGCCGCGTACCAGGCCTCCTCTGCATCCTTTCTTCCCATTTCACATGCCCAGTCCCTGTACAATCTCATGTGTGCCGATGGCTTCAGGCACCATCTGCAAACACAGGGCTTGCAAATCTTTGCCTCTAGCCTGGGTTTCTTGGCTAATTCTTTTTTTTGTCTTTTTCGTTTTTATCGGTACCAGGGATCGAACTCACGACTGCCTGCTTGCAAGGCAGGCGCTTATGCTGCTGAGCTAAATCCCCAGCTCCTCTTGGCTAATTCTTAAATAGGACTGCCTGCTGGGCACGGTGGCGCATGCCTGTAGTGCCAGCATTTGAGAGGCGGAGACAGGAGATCACTGTGAAATCAAAGCCAGATTGGGCTACAAAGTGATTTCAAGACCAGCCTGGACTATATTGTGAGACCTTGTCCCCCACAAAAAAAAATAAATAAATAAAGTGAGAAAATATAAAAAACAATGTAGTATCATTAAAAAAATGTAGTATCAATGTACAAATGATTACAACCAAGAAGAATATGCACAGCAACTTTGCTGGATAAGAACATACTAATCAATACTGTTCCTCTATGCAAGCATTAAAACTGGAAATTAACTTTTAAAAAGGTACGGGTTAGGGGCTGGGGATTTAGCTCAGTGGCATATAAGTGCCTGCCTTGCAAGCATGAGGTCGGGAATTTGATCCCCAGTACCAAAAAAAAAAAAGGTACTGGTTATAATAGCAAGCAAAATTATAAAGTATCTCGGAGTCGATCAGTAAAGAATGTAATTACACCTTAGTGGGGAAAGAAGAAATCACTTTTCTAGAACAGAAAGGACTAGAAATAGGGCTGGGACTGTAACTCAGTGGTAGTGTTGGCTTAGTATCCATAATGCCATGGGTTCAATCCCAGCCCCACAAACCCTCACGCACACCTGTGATCCCAGCACTTGGGAGGCTGAGGCAGAAGGATCACCTTGAGTTCAAGGCCAGCCTGGGCTACATAGTGAGTTCAAGGCCAGCTTGACTAACATAGCAAGACCCTGTGTCAAAAAACAAAACAACAGCCCAGAAGTTCTCAGTTCTCTATTAAAGCTCCTACAAAAACAAACGAACAAAAAAGTCAGTAAATAACTTAAGGAGTGGACAAAAGATGTGAACAGTGTTCACAGGGATGGGACCCCTGAATGGCTAACAAGACACTCAGGCTTCTTAGGAATAAGAAAAATGCAGATAACACTTTATGGTCAACCACATTGACAGTTATAAAGAGACAATCCGAGGTACTGACAAAGAACGCAGCGGAACAGGATCCCTGCCAGTCTGAGTATGCCCAGGTGCAGCCCCGGAGAAGCTCAGTCCCCTGAGGAGCCATGAGGAGGGACCTGGCCTCCCCCTGCTCCTGGGCGCCTCATTCACTGCCTAAGAACACACAGCCTGCCGGCCCAGCAGGTTGCTCTCGGCTACTCCCCTAGCTCCGGGCTGGCTCACTCAGCCCTGCTCCTGCCTTAAATTTTGGCCACTTCTTAGAAGCTTCTCCAAGGATGCGCTTCCACCCCATTAACATTTTATTTTTTGTAGTGCTGGGATCAAACCCAGGGCTGGAACATGTTAGGCAAGTGCTGTACCTCTGAGCTACACCCCCCAGCCCTACTCTTTAGGAGACAGAGGTGGGGCCAGGAGTTCAGCTCAGTGGCACAAAGGCCTGTCTAGCAAGCGTGAGGTGAGGAGCTCGAGCTCGATGGGTACGAGGAAAAAAAAGAGAAAATTTAGGGGTGTAGCTCAGGAGCAGAGCACTTGCTTAACTCGTGGAGCCTTGGGTTTTGATCCCCAGCACTGAAAAGAAAAAAAAAAAAAAAAAAGAGACAAAGGGCACAGAGTCTCCCTACTGGTCCAGGCTGACCCTACACTGGGGCTCAGGGCATCCGCTCCTGGCTCCCCAGCAGCAGGGAGCACACTTCTCTCACCCAGCGCCTCTCAGTCATGCCCCAAACTGACATGGCAGGCTACAGACAGCCTCACTGTGGCCGCATCCAGCGGGCAGCTCACTCCCCTGTGACCCCAGAGCCCTCGCACTTTGCCCATCCGCCACCTGGCTTCAGAGCACTGTGTCACAGAGGACAATTAATTGTGGCTTGGCCAAAGTGCTCCAAAGCCACAGAGGGGCCAGGGCCTTGACGCTTGGAGGCAGCCAGATGCTGGGCCACGGGTTCCAAGTGGGTTGAAGAAAGAGGACATCAAGTGACTGAGAGCCACAAAAAGTGACGGGGTCAGTGGGCTGGTCTCAGTGGGATCAAAGGACAGTGACGGGCATCTGTCTGCCAGTGCCCTCTCAAAGGCATGGTGCCAAAAGGCTCCGCTCATTCCTTTGTCATTCATTTTTTTTTTTTAAATCAGTACAGAGGCCACACACTTGCAAGGCAAGGCTTATGCCCCTGAGCTAAATCCCCAGCCTGTCATTCATTTTTCTGTGTCCACTGGAGTATTCTCAACAACAAACAGACAAACATGTTAAGTCTCTCATTTTACAAAACCCAAGACTTAGGGCTGGGGATTTAGCTCACCAAGTGCCTGCCTGTCAAGCGCAAGATCATGAGTTCGATCCCCAGCACAAAAAATTAAATTAAATTAAATTAAATTAAATTGACATTTGTAGCCCACACCTGTCTCCAAAAGTTCAGGTTCATGTATGTGACATCCATAAGCATCTCCTCCAAGTCATCAAGTTCAGAGAATTCCTGATCTCTCTCCTTAAACCCATGGTCAGAGACACCTCCTATCTCAGTACAAGGCTACCCTTCCAGTCGGCCCAAAATTTCAGGAGTCAGCTGTTAATTTTTTTTTTTTGTCTTTTTCTTTTTTATTGGTACTGGGGATCAAACTCACGACTGCATGCTTACAAGGCAGGTGCTTATGCCGCTGAGCTGCATCCCCAGTCCCAGCTTGTTAATTTTTTTTTTTTTTCTTTCCTAGAAATGGGGTCTTGAAATGTTTTCCAGGCTAGCTTTGAATTCCTGGGCTCCAACCCTCCTGTCTCACTTTCCTGGGTAGTTGGGACAAAAAAGATGATCCACTGGCCTCTTAAGAATTGTGGGAGCAGGCCAGGCGTGGTGGCTCAGGCCTGTAATCCCAGCACTGAGGCGGAAGGATCATTCCAAGTTCGAGACTAGCCTGGGTTACAAAGTGAGCTCAAGGCCAGCCTGAACTGCATAGCAAGACCCTGTCTCAAAAAAAAAAAAAAAAAAGAATTGTGGGAGCCAGACCAGGAATTTAGCTTAGCAGCATAAGCGCCTGCCTCACAAGCACGAGGTTCTGAGTTTGATCCCTGGTACTAAAACAAAACATAAACAAGAAAGAGGCTGGGGATTTAAGCTCAGTGACATAAGTGCCTGCCTGGCAAGTACAAGGTGGTGAGTTCCTTCCCCAGTACAAAAAGAAAAGAAAAAAAAAAAGAGTTGTTGGGGCTGGGGATTTAGCTCAGCGGCATACGGGCCTGCCTTGCAAGCAGGCAGTCATGAGTTCAATCCCCAGTACTGGTAAAAAGGAAGAAGACTTAAAAAAAAAAAAAAAAAAAAGTTGTCAGAGCCCAGCCTGGTGGTGCCTGCCTATAACCCCAACACTTGGGAAACTGAGGCAGGAGGATCACTCACTGAGTTCAAGGCCAGCCTATCTGAAAAAACCGGAAAGTTGTTGGGAATGTTATGTTTTGCAGGGCTGGGATATAACGCAGGAGCCCCACACATGCAGGGTGATGCTCAAACACTGAGCCACACCCTCAGCCCTCCATTTTTGTTGTTATACCACAAATCCAAGTCACCTCACTGCCTGTCTTTATCACCTGGGTGCCACCTACTGTCGCTGTGGTACACATTCCTATCATAGCCTCTTTTTTTTCCCCCAACATTGGGGATCAAACCCAGGGCCTTGACAAGCTAGACAAGCATTTTATTACTGAGAACCTCTTGAGTAACTGACCACATAGAAGGTTACTAGCTTTACCGAGTGGCAAAGAGCAGGGGCCAATCTAGGTGTAGGCAAGGACACATTAAGCAGACAAGAGAACGCCATGCAACAGGCAGAACTAATTGGACCCAGTTTCACTTAGTAATCCAGACAGGCGTCAGAAACAAAGCGAAAGCCGCAGGTGTGCAGGCGCGCGCCATGCCCCACCCCTGTAATCCCAGCACTCTAGAGGCTGAGGCAGGAGCACTGCTGAGTCCCAGGCACACCTGGGCTTCATAGTGAGTTTCAAGCCAGGTGGGAACTACATAGCCAGACACTGTCTCAAAACACAAAAAACCAAGCCAAACAAACAAAAACCTGAAATAGGCGAGATGCACAAGCAACACTAAAAGGTTTAAGATTTGCACATGGGCGTGAAAGGGGTGGGGCCGGAACCTGAAGGGATACAATGAATACAGTGGACTCAGAACCTGGATGGGATGGGGCAGGTGCAGAGAACGCAGGTGTGAGTCCCTTTAACTCATTGATCCAAAGAAAGGAGAAACTCTTTAGAAACGAGAAAGACCGTCAGCCACGGAGTCACCGATACTCAGTACTTTTTGACGTTGAACAACGCTCGAAGAGGCGCGGACACACGCTGGCCACCATCGGTGGTGGGGCAGGAGGGCTCCAAGTTGCACCCCGTCTGGGGGATCTAGCCCTGAGGGAGACCCAGTCCAAGGCTACACATTGCTCAGGACGCGGGTAAGGCGGCTCGTCGCGAAAGCCCCGGGTTCAATCCCAATGCCACCAAAAAGAGTCATGGCGGGTCAGCGATCGCCAAGAAGGGCCCAGAAGAGGCCTAGAAAGTTCTGGGGCCTCGGCGGGCGGGTGCAGCCGCGATGCACCTTCTGGGGGAGACGGCTGCCTAGGAGGGGTCGGGTCCACCGGGGGGCCGAGCCCCGTCCTGCGTGGGCTCCAGCAAGCAGGGGTGGGGGAGGGGCGGGAACCCTGAAAAAGCGCGCCCAGCGCGCAGAGCCCCCCGCGCCCACCCGCCCGTGGACACTCACGGATCTGCTCGGCCACGGGCAGGTGCGACGTGGTGAAGGCCAGGAAGCACTCGTTGCCCATGTCCCAGTCCAGAAGCCCGGGGACCTGGCCATGGAGGCTGGCCCAGAAGGCGGCGTCGCGGAGTCTCACAGCCACCGTGGGTGGAGAGGCGCGCGGGCGGGGCGCGGCGCCCACGCCGCTGCCTAAGTACCCGGCGGCCGCCGGGGCGCGGGGTGAGCGCGGGCGCCCGAGCTCGCCGCCTCCCGGCCCCTCCGCGCGTGGGCTTCGGGGCTCCAGCCGGAGCGCTGCCGCGTGTCTCTGCCTCGTCCTTCTGGCCTCAGGCTCACATTGTGACAGTGATAATAGCGCCTTCCTGAAAGTTCTGATAGGTTTTATGGTTTATCTAAATTTGCATCTGCAGTAGGTGGTGGAGATTGCATTAGAATGACGGTTGATTGAACTTTTTAAAGTTTTGGGTTTCTCGATGGGCGTGGTGACGCATGCTTGTAATTCCCGCCCTCTAGGAAACTGAGGCAGGACAATCCCAAATTCAAGCCTAGCCAGGGCGATTTAGCAAAATCCTCTCTGGCAAAAAACAAACAAACAAAAAACCGGGCGTGCTGATGCACCCCAGTAATGGCAGCACTTCGGAGGCTGAGGCAGGAAGACGGTTGAGAGTTCGAGGCCAGCCTGGACTACATAGTGGGACTCTGGCTCAAACAACAACAAAAAGCCGGGACAGGGATCTAACTCAATAAGCTTAGTAAGAAGGCCCTGGATTTAACCCCAGTATCTCCTCCCCCACCAAAAAAGTTTATGATATATTAAAATTCACAGGATTGCTATTCGTGGTGGCACATGCCCCCTAATTCCAGCACCCTGGAAACTGAGGCAGGAAGGTCGCCACAGAGTTGAAGCCAGGCCAACACTGATTCTTGTGTTTTTGTTTTGAGACAAAAGTTGGGGTTCAAGCAGTGTTTACATTTTTTTTTCAGGATTGGGAATTGAGCCTGGGAGACACATCCTAGGTCGTGCTCTCCAGCTGAGCTGCCTCTGGACACTGACATTTTTCAGATGCATGGGCCTTTTGTTTTACAGAATGGTCATCAGTTTAGGTTTCCTCACAATTAGAGTGAGATATGAATTTTGGGAGCAAGAATGCCAGAAAAGTAATGCTTCAGAAGACCTGTGCTCTGTTTTCTCACTGGTAATATTAAATTCCAATCACTTGGTTTAGTGGCAGTCACCAGGTTTCTTGACTGTAAGGTTACCCCATCTTTTAAATTAGCACTTTGGGAGGAGATGCTAGCAATTACCTAGTGTTTTGGGATTTTTTGTTTTGCAGGGCCTTGGTTGGTTTTTTTTGTTTGTTTTTTTGATTTGGTTTTGGTTTTTTTTTCTGAAACAGTGTCTATGTAGGTAGTTCAGGCTGGCCTTGAACTCTCAGTGATCTTCCTGCCTCAGCCTCCCGAGTGCTGGGATTACAGGAGTGTACCACTGTGCCCCACTAATTACCTAATGTTGGGCCAGGTGTGGTGGTGCATGCCTGTAATCCCAGCATTTGGGAGGCTGAGGCAGGAGGATGTTGCAAATTTGAGACCAGCCTGGGCTATAAAGTGAGCCCAAGGCCAGCCTGAACCGCATAGTGAGACCTTGTCTCAAAAAAAAAAAAAAAAAATAATAGGAATAATAACCTAATGTTGTGATTCTGTGTGTCAAATTTGAACTCACCAGCATCCAATTATAACTGTTGTCTGACTCAGTCACTACTTATGGTGTCTATACAATGATAATTTAAATTTTTTTCAGTACTAGGGGCTGAACCCATAGCTGTGAGTGTTGAGCAAGTACTCTACCAGTGAACCCCACGTTCCCTCATCTTCCTTTGGGGCAGGTGCTACCTGCCTTGGCTGAACTCGCCTTGAGTTTGCCACCCCCTTGCTTCACCTCCGGAGTAGCTGGGATTGCAGGTGTGTTCCACAGTGCCTGGCTAATGTTTCCAAATCTATCTTTTCCTCTTTGTCTAGCTGTTGGCAGGATATTTAGCTCAGTGGCATAAACTCCTGCTTGGTGAGCATGAGGTCACGAGTTCGATCCCCGGTACCAAAATCAAACAAACAAACAAAAAAACCAGTCTTAAAAAACAAAAACCAAAGTCTTTATTTAGCTGTTGTTCTATTGGGTGAACAAAGTTGTGTAGGAGAACACTGAGGCTGCTACTCTGGGCCCAAAAGACTAAACTAATACAGGGTTTAATCATTGTAGCTGAGCTTTGATTTATTGTAGGAGGCCCTGTAACTATAACCCAATTGACAGTTATACTGTAAATTGTGGCCAATTAAGTTTTTCGCTACCTCACATTTTTCTAGAAATACTGTCAGATTAGTTTTTGTTTTTTTATTGTATTTGTTTGCCTGCTTGGCAAATGTGAGGTCCTGTGTTCAATTTCTGGTACCAAAATTTTTATTTTTTTGTTTGTGTAGAGGCAAGGTCTTTCCATGTAGTGCAGACTGACATTGAACTGGTTTATTTATTTATTATTTATTTAACCCAGGCTGGCCTCAAGCTCACAGTGATCCTCCTGCTTCAGCTTCCCAAGTATTATTACAGGTGTGTGCCACCACAGCTGGCTAGATTGTTACAGAAAGTTACACCAGCCTGGATGAAAAATGCTTTGCACCAAGGAGTTGGAAGGCAACTTTTTGTTATTCCAGCAGCTGGTGGGATCCAGGTCCAAGTCACCAGCCCTGAGTCAGTTTTGGGTTTAGCTTATTGAGGCTTTACAAGCAGGAAGTACAGAAGCTTAAAAGTGTGGTGGGTTTTCATTGGGTGGTGACTGACTGCCTGTTGCTGGGTAGAAAGTTCTTACAATATGTTAGAAAAACAGAATATAGTTTTAAGAGGGAAAGCACAGATAAGTACAGCTGGACATGGTCAGGCTGACTTGAGTCAGACATCTACCAAATTAACGGGGGAGCCAGTTAGGGTTCACTGGGTTTAGCGTTAGCTACATGGTGGGCCGGATGAGTATATTTTCTTTCAATATGACATCAGGCTGCTCAAAATTTCTGTCACCTGCCCCCATTTTTTTCTAGGGAAGATTTTTTTCCCCCTCAGTTTTAAGGAGCCGATAAGTCAGAAATGAAGTCAGGATGCGAATCACACAAAACCCTGGGAGAGCCATCAGCAGTCTGAGCAAAGCTCTTATCTTTGAGGGGAGAAAGCCCAGGGAGCCCCAGACTCATTTTAGTTTTGGTTAAGACAGCTCAAAGTAAGTAGCCCAAGAATTATATCTGTGCAGGCAAAAACCAAAGCAACTTTCTGGTGGGGTTTCCCGCGTTGTGGAGTTGCGACCCAGGGATTGAAAGTGAACACAGGGCTGGGGATTTAGCTCAGCGGCATAAGCACCTGCCTTGCAAGTGTGTGGTCGTGAGTTCGATCCCTGGTACCCATAAAAAAGAAAAAGACAAAAAAAAAAAAAGAAAGAAAATGAACACAGAGATTAACGAGGAGCCTGACGGTAACAGTGTTGGAGATGGCAGCTGAGCCGGTGCATGGCAGCTCAGCAAAGCAGGCTGCAGAGGAACACAGGACAGTCATTTTAAAACTTGGAGAGACCGTTTGAGGTACCCAGGCTAATTGTTACACTAATATAGAAAAGAACAAAGGCAATTGTGTGGGGAACTTTCTAGTTGTCTGGAGATGCAGCCCAGAGTCTTAAGGCAAGCACCAGACTAAGGAGAGGAGGGAACTAACTGATGCTAGCCTGATCAGTTATGGTGGCTACTCCGGTGTATGTTGTCCACTTCATCTTTGCCCGTGTGAAGAGCTGCCAGCTTCTGGCGTGGCCAGAGCAAGACTTGGGAGTGTGTGGTCTCTTTATGGAGGTCTTCAGGGGGCTTCACTCACCAGCAATCCCCGGGATGGCCCGCTGGATCGTGGAGTGATGGATCTCGGGCTGGACCCCTGCTGCTCCTATTTAGAGGCCTTTCTAGTCCTAGGGGGAAGGGCCCCGGCCACCCAGAGTAAGTGCGGACAAATCCCAGGAGCTGTTCCGTAGCCTCTACCTGGCTTAACCTCGGTAAAATCTACCCGTGGGTCTTTGAAAGGGGAGAGAGTGCCATGTGTTGGATTTCAGGTGGTGGGTGAGGTCCAGGTGGTTGAGGGCTAAGTCTGTGCACAGGGTTGACACCTTTGACTGATTGCAGATTGGTGTCCACTTTGGAAGCTGGGCCATAGCAGCCTTCTTTGTAGGTGATGTCATGGTGATGTTCATCTAGGTGCAGGCCAGTTCCTTTAGGATGAGCGAAGGCATGTTTGGAGTCTGTATGACTGTTCACGTTTTTATCTTTTGCCCAGGCAAGGGCTCCCCGAGTGGACCACTTCTGAGGAAGAGGCTTTGCTCAGAGCACCTCTTCGGTGGTAACAGCAGCCTAACTGGCCTGACACTGTCTTTTTGTTTGTACCGGGAATCAAACTCAGGGCTTTGTGCTTGCCAGGCAGAGGCCGGTGCTGCTGAGCCACATCCCAGGTGATGTCTGCTGTTAGCAGAGCAACTTCCATCCCTGAGTGGCGCACTCAGCATCTGTTAGCGGCTCCATCTGGAGCTCAGGCTGGCTGGTAAGGAGTTAGTGGCTGCCAACAGGGAGGACATCCTTTTGGCACTGAGTCCAATGTGGGTGATTGGCCCCTCCCAGGGACCCATGGTTTGAGTTAAGACTCCTGAGGCTACGTGTTGCTTTTTACCGAGGAAGGGGCAGGTCACATGTGGGGTTCCTAAGGGGTGGAGCTGAGGTCAAGGCCGTTTTGATTTGTTGGAATGTTTTTAGTTTTTTCCAACGTCCATCTGATTATTTTTCTTTGGTCATGGGAGGTTTTAAAACTTTGAGGGAACCCCGATACCGATAAAAAGGAAAAAGACAAAAAAAAAAAAAAAAAAAAAAAACTTGAGGGAAGCGAGTCCATGTGAGCTGCCCCTTTTGTCCTGGTCAGTGTGTTTCCATTGGAAGGCAAAGAGCAGTTGACTGGCAGAGGCCACTTGCAGGCTGAAGAAAGCATCTTAAATCTACACAGGGAGGGGCTGGGGATGTAACTCACCAGGCATAAGCGCCTGCCTTGCAAGCATGTGGTCGTGAGTTCAATCCCTGATACTGGTAAAAATACAACAACAACAAAAAAATCTACACAGGGAACCAAGCAGCATCGGGAGGGAGCCCCAGCGCGTGTACGGCTTTGGTGCTGCTGGTATTAGAATCACAGTGGGTACATCGAGTGTGAGGAGACCTTGCCCTGGCTTTACAGGCAAGAGAGGTGTCTATCAGTATAGTGACCAGATATGTGTCACGGCAACCAGCTGTTTGGTTTGTCTCTCTTTTTTGACACAGGATCTCTCTGTGCATTTCAGGCTGACCTTGAGCTCACTTTATGGCCCAGGCTGGTCTCAAATGTGCAGAGATCCTCCTGCCTCAGTCTCCTGAGTACTGAGATCACAGGCGTGAGCTACCACACCTGGTTTGTGACCAGCTGTTTTAAGAGACAGGAGCAACCAGATTGGAGCACGAATTATCACGTGGGCAACTGATGAACTGAAGCTACTGGCAGGGGGTGGGGCAGGGGGTGAGGCAGGGGGTGGTGTTTTTTGTTATAGCCTCTTAGCCTAATCACCTGTTTAGCTTAAGCTCCTAAACTTTAGTTGTTCAACGCCCAGAAGATCAGTGGCATTAATATTGTAGTGGGTTTAATTATTATAATTTTATATAAATATATAGCTTTATAAAGAAAATTTGAAAAAAAAAGAAAATTTGAGATTAAGAGCCATATATAATATTTTAGCAGGACAATCATGACAACGTTGGTTTTGTAACACTTTATTTTGTTGTTGTTGTTTGGGGTTTTTTTTGGTACCAGGGACTTGAACTCATGACCTCACACTTGCCAGGCAGGCACTTACACCACTGATCTAAACCCCCAACCCCTGTAACACACTGAAATGGCCATCTTAGGGCTGAATAGAATAATCCAGTATATATACCATATAAGTATTTTAAAAGGTTTTTACTTGACTGGTAATCTCATGTTGATGTGACTATTTTCCTCATGGGAGTTTTGAGTAGGAACAACCCAACCTGCACCAGGCAACACACGGGACTGTAGATACATTGTTTTTTAATGAACTGCTTTTACCAACCTTTCTGACATGCCTAAGCTTTTTAGTCTTGTCTATCTCTTCTTAAATTTTTAGTGGGCCAAGACTTTTATCATACAGAATTCTTTCATATCAAAAGTATATTTCTTACATTTATAGCCTTCTCAATATTTTTTATTTACTATGACCTTTTACAACAAACTCAACACAGCCATTTGAATTTTAAAGTGTCCCTTTTTTTCAAGATAGTAGACTTGGCTGTCTTTCTATAGACCTCTGAGTAATCTTGAATCAGTGTTTTTATTTTAAAATACCAAAGAGCAAGTTAACCGTGTAAATCTAAAACTTTGTGATGTACAAGAAATGTTTTACGCACATCAACTCAAACTTTCCTTCCTTCCTTCCGCTCACTGGCTTCAAATTTTGGGTTCAAAGTACCCTTCTGCCTCAGTCTCCCGAGGACTACAGGTATGCACTTGACCCATTGTGTTGTTTTGTTTGCTTTTGTCCTGCGGAAGAAGATTGAACCCAGAGGCCTCAGAACTCTTCTGTTTGTTTTGAGGCTGGTTTGGGTAAATTGATCCCTTGCCCCAGGCTCAAACTTTCCATCCTCCTGCCTCAGCCTCCCAGAGTGCTGAGATTATGGGTGGTGCTTCATTATTTATTTTCATCCTGAAATTGTCTCAATCTGGCCCCTGGTTGAAGCAGTCCCCCCTGGTTCCTGTGGCATCTTGGTTCCCCATCAGTCCGACCCCTTCCACTTCCTGTGTGTTGCGGGTTGCTTGTCTGCCAATCAGAAACTTGTTTTTTATAATTTGATTTGAATGTGATCCCAGTTGCTAACTCTGATCATGGCTGGGATGGAATCCAAAGCCTAAGAACCCAGATGGTGGATCTCTGGAATCCAGCACTTTGGTAGCTGAGGCAGGAGGATTAGAGCTCAAGGCCACTGTGGCAAGACCCTGTATCAAGGGGAAAAAAAGTAGTACAGAAAAAACCCTGAGGGGGGAAAAAACCACATAAAAAGCCTCTTGGGAAATTATGTTGTTTTGTTGCTGGGGATTAAACCCAAGGACTAAGGGCACACCAGCTGTGTGCTCTGGCACCAGCTACCCATCTAGGCACCAGTTGTTTTAACTCAAGTACAATCAACACATTCCTTCTTTGGGTTTACTGATTTTTGTTTGTTTGGTACCTGGGATTGAACTCACAACCTTGTGTTTGCCAAGCAGGCGCTTAAACCACTGAGCTAAATCCCCAGCTCAGGTTTTCTAATTTTTTTTGAGACAGGGTCTTGCTATATAGTTCAAGCTAGCCTTGAACCCACCACCTAGCCCAGGCTGGCCTAAACTCATGAGGATCCTCCTGCCTCAGCCACCCAAGTGCTGGGACCTCAGGGATGCACCACCAAGTCTGGTGTCAACAGCCTCCTGCTTAGAAGTTTGTTAATGCTCTACCTGTGATATCAACAGCAATAATCATTTTAATGATAATTTCTCTAATTATAAAAACAATCACATTTGATATAGAAAATTTGGAAAATTCAAATAGCACAAAGAGAAACAATGAAACAAAAAGTGACCCCTGATCCCTCTTGCCTCAGCCTCCCATGTGCTGGGATTACAGGCATGACACTGGGGATTGCTGTAGGATCTGTGTCTTCTAAGCAGGGAAACACTATAACTGAGCTACATCTTCAGCCCCAAATTGATTATATTTTGCTATTCTTAGTCATTTTCTTCATGGATGTTGTGGGGTGGGTTTTTTGGGGGGTGTTGGTTAAAAATGTGGCACTTAAGGGCTGGGGATTTAGCTCAGCAGCATAAGCGCCTGCCTTGCAAGCGTGAGGTTGCATGTTCGATCCCCAGTACCGATAAAAGTAAAATTATAAAAAAAGAGAAAACTGTGGCACATGCCTGTAATGTCAGCATCTGGAAGGCTAAGGGAGGAGGAGCCTGAGCTACTTAGGAAGAGCTTTTCTCCAGTGAGTAAAATCTGCACGAGGTGGTGTACACCTGGAATTCTGGCACTTAGGCTGAGGCAGGTTGGAGCCAGCCTGGGCTACGTAGTGAGTTCAAGGTCAGTCTGAACTATGCAGAGACCTTGTCTTAAGTGAAACAAAACCAAAAAAAAAGGTGGACCCCTGAGGCTGGTGATATGGGGTGTGTGTGTATCTGCACACGCTGTGGTCTTAGCTACTCATAAGGCTGAGGTGAGAGGGTCACTTGCACCCAGGATTTGAATTTGAGAGGGGCCCAGGCAACGTAGCAGGACCTTCTCACTTCCACAACAGAAAGGCAGAAGTCTAGAGTGGACATTTCCCCCAAGAAGACATACAGGAATAACTAGAGAAATGCAAACCCAAACCACTCCTCCTTCAGTGGAATAACGACTTATTTATTTATTTGAAAAAGTGTGCCGTGTGGTTCAGGGCAGCCTTGAACTCATTATGTACCCCCAAAATGGCCTTGAATTTGCAGGCAATTATCCTGCCTCAGCCTCCCAAGTTGTAGGATTACCATGTGAGCTACCACGCCTGGCTCAGAATGACCTTTTTTTTTTTTTCTAAGACATATGTTTAAGGATCAGAATGACCTTTTTTTTTTTCTAAGACATATGTTTAAGGATCAGAATGACCTTTTTTTTTTTTCTAAGACATATGTTTAAGGATCAGAATGACCTTTTTAAAGCAAGCAAACATACTGGTGAGGAAGTGGAGAAGATGGAAGCCTTATGTGGGGCTGGTGTAAAAATGTGCAGCTGCTGCTGTGAACAGTGTGGCAGTTCCTAAAGAGACTTAACCGGGAATTACCATATGGTGGGTCTACAGCCGAAAGAACTGAGGAGAGACTTGAAGAGATGTGTGTAAACACTGTTCACAACAAAATTATTCACAAGAGCTTGAAGGTGGAAGCGACCAATGTTCAATTGATGAACCAATGAATAATGATAAATACATTTACGTAAGCATAATAAATATGTGTACTGGAATATTATTCAGCCTTGAAGAGGGATAAAATTCTGACACATGTCACACAGTGGCTGAACTGTGCAGACATTATGCTACAGGAAATAAGCCAGATGCAAAAGTGCACATTTTGGAATGATTGCACTTATTTGAGGTACCTAGGACAGACAAACTGACAGCAACAGCAAAGTGCTGGCTGTCAGGGGCTGGTGGAGGTGACAGAGTTATTATTTAATGTGTGTGCAGTTTCTGTCTGGGATGGTGAGCTGAGCGTTGTGACTTAAAGGAGAGAAGTGGCTCACTTTTGAGTCTGTGGTCCACCAAGGCAGGACGCCAGGCAGAGGGGCGTGGCAGACGGGAAGTGGAGAGGGCAGAGGAGCTCGGGAGGGAGGTGAATGTTTCCAGGCCACCCTGCTCCTCTTCTGGCAAGACCTCACTTCCTAGCAACAAGTTAGTTGGAAGGCCCTGTACCCCGTCACCCTCTAGAAGCCCCACTATAAGCGCATGCGGTTTCGGGGCATCTAGATATAAACCACAAGGATCGCCTTGCAGATTTTGCTATCTGCCCTACAGCAATGTGCAGATCACCGATCCTTATAAGGAACGTGTACTGCGGAAGTCATGCATGAGTGGGGGAGCACGCTTGTCCTTTCCCCTCAGCCAGGCAGCTTCCCCTTCCCTTCTCACCTCCTAGAGCCCTGTGAGCCTGTCTGCCACCGGTCCCCCAGCGCCCTGTCCTCGGGTCATCCTGGCTGGTGACCCTATCTTGTCTTTGCAGGCAGAGCCTCTACCCTACCCCTCCCTGCTCGCACCCCGGCTCCGTCTTCTGCTGCCCCAGGTTCTCAGGCCTCTCGGTCCCCATCTGGTACCCCAGTCCCAGCTTCTGCCCTCAACTTGGCCCTGATGGGTGGTTTGCCGTGTATAAAAGCCTCAGCCAGGTGTGGGTCTGGGAACGCTGCCTGCCTCTCCGGTGGGAAAAGCCGCTCAGGGGCTCGAGGCAGGGAAAGGACTGTGTACTTCCTGCCTGGACTTCAAGTCTAGAGCTTTGGGCCCACTAGAGGGAAACACATGACAGGCAGCCTTTATTGAATCCCAGGTCACAGAGGGAGGGGTGCATTGTTATGTGCAGGGGCAGCGGGGTGAAACAGGCGGAAGGTGGATGCTGACCAGAGCAGGTGAGGAGCCTCAAGGGACATCACAAGGTGAGGCACTGGGGGGCAATGCAAGGGACAGAGGGAGGAAGGACCCCAGGGGACGGGGCAGGGAGGGGGTGATAAAGGCATTGGAGGAGCCACAGGTGTTGGCCAAGGCCTGGAAGGAGGCGTCCTGGAGAGCCCAGCGTGCAGGCCAGCCCTCCTCACTTCTGGGCGCCCAGTGCTAGGGTGATGATGAGGCCCAAAACAAGTATGAACATGCCCACGGACAGCAGCACTGTGATGACCACCATGCCTCCGGTTCGGGCCATTCCCACCCTGATGGACTCTACAGTCCTTCCTGGCAGGAGAGAGGGAAGAGGAGCGTTTGTGCAGGGCCTAGGCTCCCTGAGCCTCATTCGCCCCTGACCAGCCGGCCATGCATCCAGCCGTTAGTCCAGCCAGCCAGCCATGGGCCCAAGCACCCCTCAAACTGACATTTATGAGGTACCTCCTCGGTGAGTCACTGAGGATCCAGAGGTTAGACAGACACCGTCCCTAGCCTGGAGCCAGGGACTCAGTGGTAGGACAGGGGTAAGCAGGGTGCTGAGGGGACCCTCTGGGGGAGGGGCACAGCTAACCAGGACTGGAGAGGAGGGGGCGCTCACAAGGTCAGTGGACCCTGAGATGTGAGAGGCGGCAGGGAGCGCTACTCACGAGGAAGCGTGGACATTGTGATCTCCCGACTGGACTCAGTGGACGTCCCCTTCTGTACTCGGTAGGAGATGCTTTTGGGGTGGTGTTTGGGGAACAGAGGCCTCAGTGAGTATCAGGGAAGAGGAGCTGGGCACAGCTGTGCCTCCGTTGTACCCTGCCCCAGGCTGGGTCTGCGCAATGTCCCCACGCTGACCGGTCCCCTCCCCAGCTTTTCCTCCTGCATCCCAAGGCACAGGTGTCCAGGCCTGGGTCAGGTACTTACTAGTATTTGGTTCCTGGTGTGAGGTTCATCACCTGGTACGCACTGAGCCTCGTGACCGTGAAGCCAGCCCCGCTGTCAACCACACTCACCAGGTCCCTGCGTCCTCGGCACGGAGGGACCACAAAGCTGGAGTTCACCACTGGGCGGGACGTTGGGAGTGGAAATCAGGGTCAGGTTTCTGGAGGCCCCTGAGAGAGGGGGCCTCTGGAAAAGGGGTGAAGGGAGGTGTAGCCTGGGGGTGCTCTGGGAAGGGGTCTGGGGGTTCAGGGGGGTCTCTGGGGGAGGGAATGCAGACCTTTGCTGTCATTGGCTCTCCGGACCATCAGTGTGGCGTTGCCTCCTGTAAGGTGACAAGGAGGCAAGGCAACCAGTAGGCTCTCCGCCAGCGCTGGTGACAGTACGCCAGACAAGCTGGAGATGTTGAATTCTGCCGGGAGGCCAGGAAGAGGCTCAGATAGGAACCACCGCCCTCGCCAGCCTCAGATCTGGCCGAACCCCTCCCTGGAGCATTGCTAAGGATTAATGGTCCGGCTCCCCTTCCCCTCTGCAGCCCGGGGGCAGAGCGGACAGTCCTGTGCAAGTCTGGCCACCAGGGGGCAGGCTTGCACTGCTGAAGCTGACCGCTCCTCCACGCTACTCCAGAGCTCAGGTCTGGGTGCCAGGAGCCCGGCGATGCCCACTGCCTTCTCCCTGCAACCTGGGACCTTTCCCACATTTCTCTGCCTCCTAGGTCACTGCCATCCCCAGCCACACCGAGTCCCTTTGAGAGCCCTGAGAGGCACGGGGCCCCTGTCTAGACCTCTGAACCCCTCTCCATTCCCTCAGGAGACCTGTAGCTCCAGGGGCCAGGAGAGCCAGCAGAATCAGCGTCAAAGGCAAGGTGTGGACCGGCAGCAGGGACACCATCCTGGGCTGGGAGGGGACAGCGCTGGCAGGCTGGGGCTTCGGCAGGCCAGTGAGGCCCTGCCCCCAGGGTAAGCTGATTTTGTCCTGGGGGTGGGAGGAGCTGGAGGGGAATCCTGTCCAACCTGCCCCTGGGGCCCACACACTGAGGGAGGGGGCGAGACAGGTTTTTCAGGGTGGGGTGCTGGCCCTCAAGGCCCAAGGGGATGCCCTGTCTGGCCCTGAGGCTTAGCTGGTGAGAGGGGCAGGTCGAACCCCCTTCTTCTGGGCCTCCGTGGGTGAGGCATTGTCCCTGGGCAGATGTGTGTGTCTGGAGCCCGACCTGGTGGGGGGCTGCTCTCTCTGGTGACAGGGCGCATTCCCAGGAAGCCACTGAGTTCTGAAGTTGCCTTGATTGCAGCTAAAGGAGGGAAACCTGAGGCACTGGAGAACCGGGAGAGAAAGAGCAGGACTGGGTGGTGTGGGTGCAGAGCGGCAAAGTGTCAGCCTTGGCTTCAAAAGTCTCAGACTGAGACCCAGTACCACCATGCTGAGAGAGAGAGGGGGCCACAGCACAGGCCTGCAGATCCCGCTGGAGGTGGGCGTGGGAGGCCAGCGAAGAGGGGGACCCTGGCTGAGTCCAGCAGAGACGAGGTGAGGACAGTCTTAGTCTGCAAACACCTGTGGAACTGATCAAGAAAAAATAAAGACAGAAGGCTGGGGAATAGCTCAGGGTAAGACACGTGCTCAGGGCCTTCGAGGCCCTGGTTCACCCCCCAGTACTGATGAGTAAAAGAGAAACACCTGGGAAGAAAAATGAAAAAGACACAATTTCCCTTTGGCCCCCTCTGCCAGGATGTGGTTACTCTATGCTGCGTGCCAGTGCCCTTAGCCTGTGGCACCCTGAGCGCCTGGGTGTGACTGGCTTTTTGTAGACACAGAAACTGGAGAGGTTGCAGAGACCTGTGCTCCACAGAGGGTGCTGGGCTAGGTCTTGTTGCTCTGTGAAGCAGCTTGTCTCTTCCGGTGTCAGAGAAAGGCCAGGGTCCTAGCGGGAAAGTGGGGTGTGAGGGGCTGTGTCCCTACCCAACTATGAGTGGGGAAGGGACCTCGGAGCCTAGAGGACGGAGCTTACTGACAGTGAAGAAAGAACTCTGGCCCAGGCAGACAGTGGGAACAGTTTGGGCCAGAGCTTCTCCAAATTTAATCTGTATATGATTCACCAGGAACTTGGCTAAGATGCAGATTCTGATTCCGTGGGTCTGAGCTAAGACCTGAAATTCTGCATTTTTAACATCTTTCAGGTGACACGGATGGAACTGGCCTAAAAGACCCACGCTTGGAGCTGCCAGAAGGCTTGGTATGGGATGTTCCCTGTGCCACGCACGTGTGTACACATGAACACACACAAATGCACACACAGGAACACACACACACATACGCCAGTGTCTGACGGAGGTCAGGGCTGGCTGTTTCCCCCCACCGTGCTACAACAGGCTGCCTTTGGGTGGAGAATTGAATTCTATTTCTCCCTCCCTTGGCTTTTGTCCCTTTAGGTGAGATCCTACCACCACCACCCCCAAACCAAAAGAGGGTCTCTCCAATATGAAGGAACTTGAGCGGGGGGAGACTAAACGATGGAATGCCAGGGCGAGGGGCTCTTCCTAGGACTTCTCAAAGCCCATCACCCACCAGAGGACGTTTACACTTGGGCTTGGGAGGTGTCTCTTCCCATGTCACTCATAACCACAGAGCAGAGGGAAGAGGTTGGGTTTATTTCGAGGCAGGTTGCACCGGGTCCTCTTAAACCTTCAGCCCTATGTGAAATTAGCAGGGAGACAGAGTGGGGTAAGGGAGGGCAGATCTCTAAACAGAATTTAAAGGGATATGAGGGCTCTGGGCCTTTAAGCCCTCCTGGTTCCCTCCAACCCACCTCCCTTCCCCACCTCAACCCTCCCCAGGTTTCTGGAGGAGCAGAGAGTTTCCTCTTCTCCCTGCCCTGCCGAGCTGCTCACTGGCTGCTCTGGAGGCTGTGCTTTGCGGTCTCCATGGAAACCATTAGTTGCTAAGCAACTGGAGCATCATCTGTGCTGAGCTCTCGCATCTAATTATCCCATCACAGCAGCCGAGAAGGGTTTGGGGAGCTGAGAGGAGGGGGAGGCCAAGCGCAGGAGCAAGAGGATAACTCTTTTAGCAAGCAGATTCATTGACAACGCTGAAGTCATTTAAAGCCACAGAACCCCGTTCCTCTGGAGGATTTACCGATGGCTCAGAGGAAGCAGAGCAGGGCCACCTGTCTGGAGTTTCTCTCCTGGACTTCCTTTTTCTTACCTCTCTCCCTCTTGATTCTTGATTCTATACACACTTGAGTTCTCTCCTCTGCCTTCTTCCCTCCAAATCTTCTATTCAGCCAGCAGACATTTATTGAGCATCAAGAGTATCCCTGGTACTGTATTAGGCACCAGAGATATACGGTGAGCTAAGTTTCTGCTTTCAAAGAATGTCCCTAATTTCTCTATTTTACTCAGGCTGTAATTTACCCAGAAAATTACCTGCTAAAGGAGACCTCCTCTTTCTGGACCATGAGAGAGATCTCTGTCTTGTGTCTCTCTCTCTCTTTCTCTCTCTTATAGTTTAACCACCAGAAGAGCTGGCATCAGAACCCACGTCTGTCTGTTATACCCGTTTCTCACACCGCAGTGCCACTCTTCTGTCACCCAGCCAGTCAGGCAAACATGCCCGCTCCACAGGCCTGCAGACCTCCGATGGCAACTACTGTCCTTGTGTTGACAGAGCTGCCATCGAGCTTTCCGGAGGTCACTTTGTACCTCAAGTTTTTCACATTGAAAATTCTTTCTTTACCCAGATGATCTAGCAAGATATGATGGTGTAAAAATGCCTATAAAATAAAGATACAGAATGAATTCTGAAGATTACTGCCCTAATCTGTAGGATTCTGTGCAAGGCCCTGGGTGTGGACAAGGGAACCCCGAGGGCTTGAACTCAGAGGTCAGCGGCACTCATCGAACCTTAGTCCATTGGGAAGTGGTGAAACCTGTCTTTGGGATCTAAGGCTGGAAAAGCTGCCACAATAAGACAATCCTTCCCATTCAGGGAGGATGGAATGTGGGTGCCAAATGACTCCCCCTCTTTCTTTCTTTTTCTTTGTTTGACAAGGTCTTCTATAGACTAGGCTGGTCACCTGAAACTCACGATCTTCCTGCTGCAGCCTCCCAAGTGTTGGGGTTACAGATGTGTGCACTGTACCAGCTGCCTGCCTTGCACTAAGCTACATCCCCAGCTTTTTTTTTTTTGAACTAGGGATCAAACTCATAACCTTGTGCTTACCAGGCCAGCACTTGAGCTGCGGAGCTAAACTCCCAGCCTTCCCCAGCTTATTTTTGATTTTTTTTCCTTATCGGTACCAGGAATCGAACTCATGACTGCCTGCTTGCAAGGCAGGCGCTTATGCCGCTGAGCTAAATCCCCAGCCCCATTATTTTTGATTTTTGAGACCAGGTCTCATTTAATTGTTAAGTTGGCTAAGCTGGGTTTGGATTTGTGATACTCCTGCCTCAGTCTCCCAGAATGCTAAGTTTGTTTGTTTAGTTTCTTGAGACAGGGTCTCCCTGTATAGTTCAGGCTGGCTTTGAACTCATGAGAATCCTCCTGCCTCAGTCTCCTGAATCTGGAATTACAAGTGTGCACCACTGTGCCTGGATCCTTGCCTTTTTCCTAACTCTTACTGCAAAGAAAACTAGAGGCACAGAGATGGTAAATGATGTTCCCAAGGGCACTGAGCAGATGGTGCATCAGGTAGGATGTAACATGGGATTTGCTTCTCCAGCAGCTGATCAGCAAAGCTGATGTTGAAGGGAGTTGCTAGTCCATGGGAGAGGAAGCTGAGGTGAACGAGCTGTTTCCTGTACGCCAAGCATGCCTTAAGGGCCAGGCACACAGGAACTGCTTATCTGTCCATCTGTCCATCCATCCATTTTTTTTTTCCGGTGCTAGGGATTGAACTCACAACCTTGCATTTGACAAGCAGGCACTCAGGCCACTGAGCTAAACCCCCAGCCCTAGCTTGTTGGGTTTTGAAGAATGAACCAGAGTTGATTTTGGAGTAGCGTGTAAGAAGGTTCAGAGGCGACTCATCCTCACACCTGGTAACTGCATTGCTACCCTTTGGTTAGGAAGAGGACTTGAAGAGGGAGCTGGTGAGACCAGAGCCACTGGCAGGGTTGCCAGAGGCTTTGTATCCAAAACCCACAGACCGGGTTTTACCCTAAAGAAAACAGAAAGCTGTCGGAGGTGCGGTTGTGTGAGGGTCATTGCAGCAGTGTGGAGGGTGGGTTGACAGCTGGTGAGACGGGGGACTGGAAGAGAACAGAACACCCAAGAGCAGCAGCATGGCCCGGGAGAAGCGCTGGCCGAGCCGGAGAGCAGTGCCGGGATCAAGGAGAGGTGACAGACCAGTGACTTCCCCAGGTTAGGGAAGGAAGAATCCAGGTCGATTCCCAGATGCGCGGGTTGGAACAGATTTGAAGGGTGGGTTGGGAGGCAGAAAGCTCCTCTGTGCTCCCTCAAGTCCCAGGTATGGTGTTGCCACCCTCCAAGATGGTCCAGATGGTCCTGCTTTCTGTGCTTGTGAATTTCTTTGTCTGGCTCCCTCCCCCAACGTGTCAAGGCCAACAGAAGACACAGAATTAGCCTGCCCTGAGGGTGGACGACTATAGTGTCATTACCCAGGAGGCTGAAGCAGGAGGATCACTTGACCCAGGATTTCAAGGCCAGCTTGAGCACGGTGGGGAGAGGCCATGGGGAAGGCGGGACAGGGCGGGGACAGCAGGGGTTGAGCGGCTGGGGTAAAAGCCTGAGCAACCGGCCTGGGAAGCTCCTCCTGGAGGAGAGTCAGAAAAGGCAGCCACCATGCTGCTGGCGCCCTCCGGAGGACACAGGAGGAGGTGAGGCCCTCCGTGGGGCACCAGGAAACCGTGGGTGACCTAGAAGCAGATCCTGCCCCTGCAGGACCTTCCCTTGGCTGCGGCCAGGTGACATCTCCAAACTCAGCTTTGCGTCATCCTGTGAGCTGGAACCACCCAAGGAAGGACCTTCCGGATTCCTGACCCTAAGAATAAAGGACTGCATTGCTAAGTGGCTAAGCGCAGGGTGATGCCCTGTACAGAGAAGGGAACTAAACACAAGCGCCTCAAGGCGCCAGGAGGACGCAGGCATAACCCGGGAAGGGTCTGGAACTCGGGGTAGAACAGAGGGGGCGTAGCAGAGGCCAGGCTTGGTGTGCGGACCAATAGTCCCAGCACTCAGGAGGCTGAGGCAGGAGGAACACCACACATTTGAGGCCAACCCAGATTACATAGTGAACTCAACGCCAGCCTGAACTACATAGCTACATAGCAAGACCTTGTCTTGAAAAAACCAAATAAATAAATAAAATATGAAAAAGAAAGAAAGAAAATAAAAGGGAAGGAAAGGAAAAAAAAACCAGAAGAAGCCGGGTGAGCATGGTAGTGTACACCTATAATTCTTTTGATTTTTAAAAAATTGTTTAGTTTTTGATTTTGTTTGAGACAGAGTTTCATTAAGCAGTGCAGCTGGCCTTGAACTCGATTATGTAGCTCAGGTTGGCCTCAAACTGGAGATCCTCTTACCTCAGCCTCTCAAGTGCTGGGATTACAGGTGTTTGCCTCTATACCTGATTTATTTGTTTGTTCCAGACAAGGTCTCACTATGTAGCCCAGACTGGCCTTGAATTGGCAGGGATCCTCCTGCCTCAGCCTCCTGAGTAGTGGGATTACAGGTATGAGCCACCACAACGGGCAGACTGGGTAAAATGGATGAGGAAAAAGAGGAGGTCATGGTCAGGGCTGTGAGGGTGTTAGCGTCTGGCGTGGGCCTGTATCTCCCTGCAGCTGGAAGAGTGGGGTGATAGCACTGAAGAGCTATGCTTTGGGGGGTTGGGTGGAAAAGCAGGCCTGGGAGGCAAATGTTGAGGGAGCTTCCCCCTAAATGTTGGGGTTTTTTTCTTTCTTTCTTTTTTTCCTGCAAAGTAAGAGTTTGGAGGTCAAAAAGGTCAAGAGTTTGAAATAGCTTGGTTGGGGGTAGGAGCTGTGGCTCTGAAGAGCCCTGAGGACAGCTATGTTGGCTGGGGCAGGCCTGCAGGGCTGGGGGACCACTGGCCTTCATGGCAGCTGTTCTATTAGGTGGGGTGCTCCTGAGAAAGGGAACCAACAGGATGTGTGTATATAGAGAGGGGTTTATTTTCAGGAGCTGGCTCACATGGTTGTAAGCCTTGGCAAGTCCAAAGCTGCTGGGGGAGGCTGGCAGGCTGGAGGCTCGGGAAGGAGGCCATCAGCTGGCAACATTCCTTCTTTCTCAGGGGAGGTCGGTCTTTCTTCAATCCTGGCCTTCACCTGATTGGGTGCAGCCCACCCACGTAGTGGAGGATAAACTGCTTCGGTCCAACCACTGAAATCCACTAGGTGTGGTGGCACACACCTGTGATCCCAGTACTTGGGAGGATGAGGCAGGAGGATCACTGAATTTGAGGTCAGCCTGAACTACATGGTGAGACCTTGCCTCAAAACACACACACTCCAGATGTTCCCAGGCAGGGCAGGGGCTGCAGACAAGCTGCTCCAGGGGCAGGCAAGCAGCAGAAGCAGCAACCAACCAGAGGCCCCTGAGGTAGGGCAGCTCTGCAGAGGGGCCCAGCGGCAGGCAGCAGCCTGGGGTCACCAGCCCTCATGTTTTTCCTTTTTAAAGCAAACCAATTTTTATTTGTTTGCTTGTTTATTTAAGTGGTTTTTTGTTTTTGTTTCTGTACTGGGGATCAAACTCATGACCTTGTGTATCCAGGCAGGCGCTTGTGCTGCTGAGCTATATCCTCAGCCCTATTTAAGGACAGAGCCACTTGGGGCTGGGGATGTAGCTCAGCGGCATAAGAACCTGTCTTGCAAGCAGGCAGTTGTGACTTCGATCCCCAGTAAAAATATTTTAAAAAGACAGAGCCACAGTATGTGGTCCAGGCTGGCCTTGGACTCGCTGTGCAGCCCACTGTGGTCTTGAATTAGAGATTCTCCTGTGTGTGGGGTCCCAGGCATCACCTATTGATAGAGTTATTTCCAAAAGATGAAAAATATTAACAAAAGATGAGAAATATAAAATAAAAAGCGGCCTTTATTCTGAGAACACGGAGAGAGATGACCGACACCCCCACCGCTGGCATCCTGCATCTCTCTGGCGGACACGTGGCGTGGGGGCCTGTAAATAGCCTCGGTTTGGGGTGAAACCTAAGGCGGGCATTAGGGATACACAGGTAGCCCATTGGTCCTAGGTTTGGCGCCATATGTAAGTTTCCAGGGGCGGGAAGATGGCATCACAGGTAACTTCCTAGGGACAGGGGAGATGGGGCTTCCTGCTTCCGGTTGTGGCTTTCCTGGCTACAGAGTCCTATCTGGGCCAAAACCCTTTCAACCTATCATTCCCCCCCCCCACCCCTTTTTGGTAAATGCTTGGGATTGAAGCTCTCCAGCTAGTCAAGGGCCCTACTACTGAGCCATATCTCCATTCTTTTTTATTTTGAGGCAGGATCTTGCTAAAATTCCCATGCTGGCCTTAAAACTTGCAATCTTCCTGCCTCAGCCTCCTGACTAGCTAGGGTTGCAGGCAGACACCACCATGCCCAGGTAACTACATTTTTTTTTTTTTTTGGCAAGGTCTCACTCTGTAGTTCAGGCTGGCCTTGAGCTCACTATGGAGCCATGCTAGTTTTGAACTCAGGGTGATCTTGCTTCAGCTTCCGTAGTGCCGGGATTATCATGGTGCACCACCACGCCCTGCTAACAAAGCATTCTTGAGAGCGCTGATTCATTCCTGAGATACCTAAGCAGTTCTTGCTAGGCAGAGGATAA